ACATTACTACTGTATTAATGAGTAACAGTGTCTTTAGAAAGTGTTTGGGAAGCATTTAGTACCGTATATAATCTCATACATAGACGTTTTAAAACTGCATCCAATATTCGCGGTTTTTCGCTATTCGCGCGGGGGGGGGGTAAAGAACGTAACCCCCGCGAATAGCGAGGGAATACTGTACATGCACTGACACAGTTCTACTGCTTTAGTACTTACTGTATGTACATGTCAAGCAACTGACACAGTTGTACTAGTTTAGTACTTACTGTAAGTACATGTACTGACAGTTCTTCTGCTTTAGTACTTACTGTATGTACATGTCAAGCAACTGATACAGTTCTACTACCTTACTCTTTACTTTACGTGACCAATACATTTGTACTACTTTGGTGCTTACTGTACGTATATGCCAGGTTTCTGACTCCATTCACCATCCCGTGAGTGGAGTTCTGTAGATTTGTTTTCTTTTTAGAAGTAATTTCATCTGTGCAGGTTTATAACAAAGTTATGGAACTGTGTTACATTTGGTGTACATACACACCATGACTTGATTTTGTAACATAGTCATCATTTACATGTTTTCATGTCTCTTTAATAAGCAATAAATATAATTAATATAATTTAGACACTTGTAAAGTATATGCCAATAACTTGCTGATTGAAAAATGATTCCGATACGGTACTTACCCTGCCTGAAGCCTTCTGCTTCCCCCATGTTTGAATTACTATATTCCAACATGTCTCTCATGTAAATCATCATGTGTCATCTCTTAATCAATAGTAGCATAATATGCTCATGTGATGCATGTGACTCCCTCTACTCTCCTGTTCCAAACCTTCACTTCTTATTTAGCAGTGTTTGAGTTAAGATGTACTCTTTTGTGTGCCTAGTGCTTCCAGTGTGACAAACACATTTTTTTTTCACACTTTATTTTATACCAGTTCATTCTTGTCGCTCTATTTCTGTAATCAACTTTTGTGAATCTGAAGTTCATGTTCCCACTTCGTGAATCACATCAATGGCCATTGTTTTTTCTCAGACTTCAGGTGGGGGCAACTCAACAGTGGATTTCTCTGCTTTTATACTTCGGGAGATTGAGCACTACATGGATCATCCTTTGTCCTCTGACATCTCCCAGGCTCCTTCTCTGTCAGCTGATCTTTTTCAGATTGACAAGGACTTTGATCATCTTTTCCCACCTGAGTTTGTTGTTCCTTCCCATTTATAGCCTGACGAATCACCTAGGGCTAATGTCTCAGGTTTGTGATGTATTGTCTTTTTTCCCTATCTCTTATTCCCCTCATCCTTCCTTGTTACATGCACATGCTTCCCGACCATTTTTAGTTTTTCCTCCCTCCCCTGATATGTGGATACATGCAGATCAATTTGTCTCACAATTAAGTGAGAGGATTGGTATGCTGTGCCCCCCAAGGACTTCTGATCAGTGCATCATTTTTTACTATCGTACAGACTATCCATTTTTAGATCAGCAGTTGTTAGGTTCATTATTACCTAATTGGGGTGCCTCTCAAATATAATGTTAGTCTTACCCATGCCCAATACTCTTGCCTATGTCTTACCCTAACCAACCTCTTACAGTATTTTTTTTCCATACATCTTCTATCATCTTGCATTTGGATCCATTTTTCCCAATACCTTATGGTTTTTATTTCCACTGTTCTTACTATGCTTGTGCATTCCTTTCAGATATGTCAACCTCCCAGACGTCCAGCCCTTCTAGATTGGGACATTAATGTGGTCCTCCATGCTCTTACTTTACCTCCATTTGAACCACTTTCCTTGGGTTCCTTGTGTCCGCTGTCACTTAAAACATATTTCATCCTTCTCTTAGCCTGTGGACGTCCATGGTCAGATTTGTATTGACGTTTCATGTACCCTTTAACACCCAACCTCTCTTCTCCTTTATCCTGATCATTCCTTCCTTCCTAAGACCTCGGCAGCTCGGGAGGATTGTTCATACTTTTCTCATATTTTCTCTCCTTCTATATCCCATCTTTACCCTAGACTGGATCTGGATAGGCTTCTGGGCCTGATCAGGGCCCTTCATTGTTATGTGACATGTACTACTCCCTTTTGGGGTGTGCGTAAATGACTTTTTATACCATGGCAATCCTCCTTTTGTGATCTTTTACCTTCTACCCTTACTAATTGTGTTTGCCTTTTGGTTCGTTTGGCCTACTCACGCTTTATTTTCCATGGATTTGCATGATTAGATGGGGTTTGATGGTGAATAACCTCACGATATTTTGCTTCATAAAAATGCTCATCCTGGACCATACCACCTATGGACTGCATGGATAAAGCAGAAGGGTATTGCTGCTCATCCCTGCCATGCCTTGAGTGAACAACTCGGTATGGACTACTCTTCAAAATAAGGTGTTGACATTCCTCCACACTCTCCACAACTCCTTTCCTCGAGTGGAGTATGGGAGTCCTTACCACTTTCCAGTTACAAGCCACTGGGGTGGTTGACCATGGAGATACCTTCTTGAATGAGTTCCACAAAGAAAGGGCTAGAGCCATTCAATTGAGAGTAGGTTGGTGGTGTTCTGCTAGTTTAGATAAGACATGGCTTCCAAAAGAGTTGAGCCGTTACCTTGCTGGTTGATGTAGCCTTCTGATACCATCTCTACAACCACGGGAGTTGAGCTGTAACCTTACTGGATGGCATGGCCTTCTGATATCATTTACATAAACACTGGAGTTGAGCTGTTGAAATTGCAGTTCACCCCTTTGATTGGGAGACCTCATCCTACTTTAACGTGGATGTCGGTACACCACTAAGAGGTTTTGGATTAGAGTGAACCAATCACCATAAGTCCTCACATGAGTTGATTCCATGTGATTGACATCCTTTCAATACTGGATGTCGAATCCCAGATGGATAGATCAGTGATGATCCTTCTGTTATACCCAGAAATCAGTGCAGGTTATAAGCCCTGCTTCTTGGGTTTAATGTGAAGATGGTATGATTCTCATCCTACCCTCACATGGATGTCAGTGTCCTGTGAGGAGGTTTAGGATGTAGTTGCCTTACTGAGTATGGTCCGCCATGCCCTAGCCACTCTACACCTCTCATTTTCTGCCCTTATGTTATACACATTCCAGATGTGGGCAAAGAGTATATCTGGCTCAGAAGTGCTACGGTTCCCTTCTTCTGATCTATCTCTCTCATTGTCAGGGGGGTATCCTTTGGACACTTTCAAGGGTACTTTCATTCACTTGCACCGGTAACTCCACCTTCTCAATGTGGGATTCTAGTAACGTATCGGAAGTTATAATTTTTCTACACTGGAACTGTATTTCCGATAGGTACTTCCCTCCTCTCACACTTTCCATTCTTCCTCCTCCCCACTTCTCCAGTGCTCACACCTTCTGCCAAACTTCGAAGTGAAGGTTCGTTAGAGGAGTGTAGAGGGAGTCACATGCATCACGTGAGCATATCATGCTACTATTGGTTAAGAGATGTCACATGATGATTTACATGAGAGACTTATTGGAATATAGTAATTCAAACATGGGGAGCGGAAGGCTTTAGGCAGGGTGTAAAGAGAAAGTTTGCATATAGAGGGCAGCAATGAATGAGAATAGTTAATCTTGTGAATGGAGGTAAGTACCTATCGGAAATACACTTTCAGTGTAGGAAAATTGGAACTTTTCTCCACCGGTTACAATTTATAAGGACATGAAGTTTGGAGGGTTGAGAAAAGAAGATTTCTTATCTATTATGCTGACATCTTTTTAAAATAACTATTAAAAATAAATATGGACTGTTTGCTATTTTTCAGTATTGGTGATTTCCATGATGCTCTTTGTCGAAATACAACCCACCCACAAGTTCTCTACTGTGCTGAAGCAGTCATTCCTCTGTTGAGGTAAAAATGTTGATGAATTTCATAGTTAACTCCTCATGAGCTTCTAATACCTCTTAATTTGTCAAATGTTTCCTATACCACAGTAAATTTTCTAAAGATGTTGATTAAAAACAAGCAACAAATATTATATTTTCCAAACTTTAGGTTATAGTAAATAGTGAACACAATGCCAGGTAGTAGGTGAACCCTTGTAAAGTAATCCAAAATGAAGTTTAACTCTACCATTGTGGAACAAAAACAAGTACATATAGATACAAGTTTGATGCTTTTCATGTGTCCTTTTCAGCCCAACTTTTTGTTTGTCAAAAAAACAACAAAAATTGACATAAGAGGACATTGTATTTATATGTACTTGTTTTTGTTCCTGCTGAAGGAAGTATGAATCTCTGTATTGAAAGCAGTTAACTGTGGTTAGTTGTATCTTTTTTTATGGTGATTTTCTTTATGGGTTGTTAAAAAATAATTTCTGCAGTAACTTGTATTCCATATGACAAGGGGTTTAAGGAAATAATGAAATTACTGTCAAAACTATGTAAGTGTTGTAGAAAGTGTGAATTGTTTTAATTGGGTGCTTATTTTGAAAACGTAGGGTTTCAACATTCAGTTGAAGTATTTACTAAGATTGTAGTTTAAAGAGCTTTAAGAAGACATAATTGAGATTAAGGTTATTGGATTTTTATGGACTTTTGTTAGACCATAGAATTTTAGTGTTCATGGTTGATTTGTATGGAAAAAATGTTTAAAAATAACATACATTTTTAATAGTAATTTGATTAGTTGTTGGATTAAGGTATTGTTTAATCTTAACATAATGACTAGATTCATTTCCAACCCTTGAATGAAAGTTAAACACATGTTCAGGAAATTATGTAATAAACCCAACCCACCAGGAAACATTTATAAAATAAAATATAGCAATTCCCTGCCTGTTACATAGGTGAACCAGAATGTATCTTGAACACTGGGTTAAAGGGAACACTAAAATACACAAATTTTCTGAATAGTACTGTTACGACAGTGGAAGTCAAGCGATGCTGGAAGCATGCGTGCTAGAGTTTCTAGAAGTATCGTCACTGTTCCTGGCAACTCTAGTCTTTTCCAGGCGCCTTCTATTTTAGTAAATAAGCCAAGCAAATAATTGCAGATAGAGGTATACAGACAAATAATCGAGTCAAGCAAGCAGTAGTGACCGTAAGTAAAATACATGAATCGTTGTGAATTATAGTGTGTGTCTAAGTTAAAGTGACCGTGAAAATTCTGTGCATTGCAAAGTTGTATTGAGAAACAATAAACTAGTTTAATTAAGAAAGGACTTGTATCGCTGAAGTTTCTCTTAAAGAATTTTTACAGGAAACTAACAAACGACCAGAGATGTAACAAATTGGTGTTAGGAGTGGGATGGAAAAAAAAATGGAAACAAGAAGTGGCAAATCAAACTACGAGTTAGCAGATTTGATGGAAGCAATACAAGAAGTGAAAAAGAAACAAGGAGAACAAGAAGAGAGATTACAGCAGCTATTGGAGGAAAAAGAAAAGAAACAAGAAGAGAGATTACAGCAGTTGTTGGAGGAAAAGAAAGGAAACAAGAAGAGAGATTAGAGCAGTTGTTAGAGGAAAAAGAAAGAAACAAGAAGAGAGATTACAGCAGTTGTTGGAGGAAAAAGAGAAGAAACAGGAAGAGAGACTACAGCAGTAGTTGGAGGAGAAAGAAAATGAACAAGAAGAGAGACTACAGCACTGGTTGGAGGAGAAAGAAAATAAACAAGAAGAAAGTCTCCAACAATTGAGAGAAAGCCAGCATACACAAATGGATAAGATTAGTAAATTTCAAAGTGAATTAAATACATTAAAGGACGATATATTGTCTTTTATACAAGGAGGATATATTAGCCATGGGCCTAGTCAGC